TTTTTTAAGTTTATTTATTTTATTATTTATTTTATTTTATTATTTATGTATTTTTTATATATTTATTTATTTAATTTTTTTTTTAGATTAAGGTGGCTTGGTTTAGCCATTCATTTAATTGTTTTTTGTCTTGAGAAATATTAATAAGAAAAAGGCTGTTGACATCATTCTTTAATAAAATGTATATGGCTTGACTGGTATCGGTTCTAAATCGCTAAACGAAAAATCGCTAAAAAATGAGATGTTCCCAATTTTGTTACCAGTGAAAATCCCAAAGATGGCTACTAGTGTTTTATTTAAAAAATGAAGATTCAAACCGTAGCAGAAAGCATAAATAATTTACTTTAGCTTAGGAAATTAGATATTAAAGTATATATAATTTCAGAGTTGGGCAGGTCCTCCAGAAAAAGAATCTAGATACAGATATAGATTCTTTATAAAAAAAATGAATCTTAGATACAGATACTAGTATCTTTTTCAAATATCAAAAAGATACAAGATAAATGATACTTGTATCTTTTACTAAATTAGAGTATCTTAAATACAAGATGCTTTTAAATTATAAATACCATTTAAATTAGAATAGTTTATAAAATACAGTTTTTATTATTTATTTGTGAAGAACATAGCATACACATATAAGAATTATTTGCAATGATTAATAAAATATTTATTAATAAATTAATTATAATAACCAGGAATTTTAATATTAGTTTTTGCCCATTCATAGCTTAAACAGGGAAGGAAGAGTAGTATATTTAATGGGAGTTGAAAATTTGCAAATAAGAAAAAAAATAAAATCAAATGATTTATTAGAATGTGCAGGTTATTTTCTGTGTTGTTTTAAATATAGCTTATATTCGGAGTATATGGCTAAATGGCATCTCTAAAAAAATATATTTGTTTTATTTTATTCATAATATTTAATAAGTATTTATCATTACTTATTTGTGATTTTTATGTATTATTTAAATTAGTTTATTTTCTAATATGACTTATTAATTCTTGCGTTTGTAATATCATTTATATAAATATCATTTAAATCTCTTTTCAAATTTTTTTTATATATTTCTTGCAAAATCCTTAATTATATATAAAAAATATCATAATAATGTACAACTTTATATTATAATTATTATTAAAAAAATATACATAAAAATGGATTTCGATTTTATTTATAAAAATAAATGATTTTATATATAATTTTTTTTTAAATTTTATAACATTTTATTTTTGTTAAAGAAGCCATTTTATATCGGATCAAATTTTATAATATTGGCGGATAATCGATATTTTAAAATGAGTGAAACCGGCCCTATCCGATCTGATAAAAAAATCGGCACATCCCTAATATATTTTATATATAATTATTTTAGCAAGTTCTTATTAGAGAAAATATTTAAGCTACAATTGATATATAAAAATATTAGATAATTTTAAAAGGCTCTTAATAAAATTATTATAATAAGGTAGAATTTAACTTTATTAGTTACTTTCATTTATTTATGATATAAGTAAAATTACATTACAGTATTTATTTACAAAATTTAATCAATTTAAAATGCATTAAAGAAAATTATTATGTTTAATAATTAATTAATAAATATTCTGCCATATTGTTATTTTTTTACGCATTCTGTTTATAAAGGTGTGCGAGATTCTCTTCAGAATCTGTTTTTAGTGAAGCTGGTGATATTGACAGTTATTATCGCCGCAAGCTTGATAAATTGGAAATATTGGTATTTCTAAAAAGAAATCTTCGTTATATTAATGTTAAATATTATTTTAAATATTTATTTCAAATTTCATAATATAATTGTTTATTACTTATTGTGTATATAGATTAATGTTATTATTTATTATATAAAAGTGATTTAATAATAAAAATATTTTATATACTTTTAGAATTGCAATTGAATTGAATATAAACTATTACTCATCATTATAATATATTTAAATGACATAAATTATGGTATAGTTAAATTATAGATGTTATACTAATAAAAAGTATATTAAAAATTAAAACCATTGGTATCTTTACAGAATACAAAATTAGATATGATATCCGATCGGTAATCGGCCGATATCAATTTAATATCGGGAATATCGGATCGGCCTCCAAAAAATGGTATCGACACACCCCTAAAAAATATATATCCAAAATGATTTTAATTTGTAATCAACCATCTTCTATAAAAATTTTTAATAACAATTATCTAAGAGGGACTTAAGTATAGGTATTATTATGTTTATAATTATAAAATAAAAATATAATATACTTTAATATGTTTAACAAAGTTTGTAAAGGACAGTGGCGTAGGCATGGGGGGTGTTTTGGGGGTTCAAACCCACCCCCCATAAAAAATTAAAAAAAATTTTTTTTTTAATTTAATTTTTTTTTATTTTTAAAAAAAATATTATAAAATAAATTATATAATTTACAGAGGATTAAAAAATATATATTAAAATGGATACTATAAAAAAATATATATATTTAAAAAAAAGGTAGGTATATATCATCCAAGAGAAGAATGAATGCTTAAAAAATTAGACCGGCAAATTTCCAGGGAAATCTGCTGGCGAAGGTAAAATCCTTCATTGGGATCTCCTGAGATCTGTCTCATTTTTTTCCCTATGATTTTGATGAAAAAAAAAAATTTTTTTTAATTTTTTTTTTAAATATTTTAATTTAAAAAATTCTTAATAAACGCTTGATTTTTATGTTTTAAATTTATTATAAATAATAATAGATATACACATTTGATTATTTTTATATTTATTAAATAAATTTTATATTATTTTGCATTTCATAAAAGTTGTTTAGTTTGTCATATTCCATTTTATAAAAATATATATTTCTCATTTTCAATATGAATTTCACACCACCCAAAAAAAGGGAGTTATTTATTCAAACGTATCATGATATTGACTCAGAAAATCAAAAAAAAAACTAAAAAGATTTTGTCCAACCAGATTCATCGAAAGACAGGTGAAATTCTTTATTGAACTATATGATGTTGTCTTTGCAGCACTAGAATTTTATATATCACAAGGAAAAAGATTCAGCAGATTATGAAAATCTTTTGCAGGCTATTATTAAGCCACAGTTTTTAATTTCAATTGAATGTGTTTATTTTTTATTTAATTATACATATGATTTTAGAAAAAGGCTACAAAAAATTGATTTGGATTTAAGGGAGATTATGAATAGAACAAAGGATATTGTTGAAATATTAACAAATATCAGAGAGAATGTGGATAAAAAATTCATGAAATATATGAAAAAGTAAAGGAGATTGCTAATATGCTTGGATATGAAATTTTTAAACCTAGAGTAGTCTCTAGACAATCCAATCGATCAAATATTGATGCATCTACGATTGAGGATTTTTATAAAATAAACATTTTTATTCCCCTATTGATACATTTTTATTTCAATTAAAAGAAAGATTTATTAGTCATAATTATATTTTAAAAAGCTTTTATTTTCTTTTGCCGGTTGAGTCTAAACTGTTGATTACACTTGAAACACGAGAGGATATTAAAAAAATCTCAGAGTTTTATGTTGATGATTTAGTAAGTTCATATGATAAGTTACTTTGTGATGTCGAATTTTGGTATAAAAATCTTGACAGAATAGGGTATTCTTTGAGACCAAAAAATGCTCTGCAGGCCCTTTCCATGTGTAATTGCATTTTAGATTCTATGCCTGATATCAAAAGATTATTAATTATTTTAGCTACCTTGGCAATTGCACTAATGAAAGGTCTTTTTCAACTTTAAAAAGGTTAAAAACCTATTTAAGAAACACAACCGGTGAAAAACGTTTAAATGGATTAGCCCTATTGAATATTTATAAGGAGATTATTTTAGATAAAAATTTGATTCTAGATGAATTAGCAAAATCTCAGAGAAAAGCAGATCTCTCTTTAAATTCAAATCAAAAAATAGCAATAAAATTTTATTAGTTTTAATATATAATCAATTTTGTAAAAAAAGTATTATTTAAAAGATAATATCATCATATTTTTTTAAATACCATTATTTGCATAATACATTATAATTTTTAATATTAAAATCTGTATTATATAAAATATCAACATTTTGAAAATATTTTAATTAATAAAAATATATACATGATTAAATAAAGGAATGTAAAATATATAATAAAATACCCTAAAATTTTGTTAAATAAAAATATAAAACAATTTTAACAAATCCAAAAATATAAGCAATTAAGTGTTCAAAAAAAATGGGAGGTTTGGAGGGCGAAGCCCCCCCAAAAAAATTTAAACCCCCCCCCCCCCCATGATAAAATCCTGGCTACGCCACTGGTAAAGGAGTTTGTTGAACCTTTAATAACTTTTTTTACTTGTGCAATTTTGACATTCAGCTAGTACCTTGTTCTTTTTCACATGAATTACTTTATAAAATTTTCCATCTAGAATTTTAAAATTCGGATTTGATTCAGGAGAGCCCATCTCCATAATTTCATCTTCACTACTATGATTGTTAAACCTTTTACAAATTAAAAAATATTATATATAAAATATATCCTTCTCTTATTTAGTTTTGGTGTTGTTATTTTTAATCTATCTATCTTTGTGACCTATAACATTTCCAACTAATTTTGGTTAGCAATATATTTAAAATATAGCGGGAAAAAATAAAGAAAATAATACAAGATTTCACGAAGAAAATAAAGTTACATTGTGTGATATGTAAATGTTTTAAACAAGAATATTAAAAAGAATCTGTATCTGTATCTTTTTAAAGAAAATGAAAAAGATCAAGATTCTTTTCAAAATAAAGGATCTTAGATACAGATACTAGTATCTTATTAAAAATGTCAATATGATACTGAGTACAAGATACAAAAGGATCTTGTATCTTAGATACAAGTATTCGCGGTACTGTCCAACTCTGTATAATTTATAGATATGAAAATTTTATTTACATTTAAATTTTTTTTTAGAAAACAATAAAAAATAAAGACTACATAGAATATTTGGGATATCAGTATTTACAGCACAAATCTGGTAAAAGTGCCACTATTGTCGCAAAAGATGTGGTGGGAGAGCAAAACTCACCATTAATTGTGACTTTAGTATAACTAAATGTCATTTAGACACTTATTCAAAGTAAAACTTAATTGTAATTAAATATTATTATATTTTAGATGTTTCACCTTTATCATCAAACATTATCTTAGAACAACTGAGTTCAAATTTTCAAGGTAAGAATATTTTATCACATAATTATAAAACAATAAACTCAAAATCATATAGATGTATCTCAAATATCTTCTCAATCTCATGGAGAATCCTTGACCCTCTCAAATCCAAGTTAAAAATCATAAATAATATTATTTAACTATAAATTAAATAGATGTATCTCAAATATCTTCTCAATCTCATGGAGAATCCTTGACCCTCTCAAATCCAAGTTAAAAATTATAAATAATCTTAAATAAATATTGTAATTTTAGGTACAACATATTATATAACCATTATCTAAACACAAATTTTAAAATAGGTTATACTCAAAGTCATTCAGCTTACACATCCCCTCTTTGCTCATATATCTTCCCATATATTCCTGATTTTCAAAGTAACATTTTTATAACAAATCAATTTAATATATAAAATATAGATGCTCCCAACATATCAAATGATTTCTATACATCTCCTCTTAATTCACAAATAGAAAGTAATAATTCTTAATGAAAATATCTATATCACATTATATTTATAGGTAATTATTATTTAGAAAATATGGATAATCATGGGTTTGCAGAATCTCTAATAGATTTTAATGAAAATATACATATTTTTGGTAAATATCTATATAAACATCTAAAAATTTTCTTATATTTTAGAGGAACCGACGTTTATCGATAACCAAAAGGGCAAAGCATTGCTCTTTTTCCAAAATTTTCTTTACCGTTATAATGGCACATACAGGAATACAATTTACTAACATTGTTTAAGAGCTGATTGTAAAGTAACATGTAAATATATTCAGGGATACACAGTATCCAAAATGTATGAACATCAAAATCATGCTATACTTTTTCGCAAATTAAAAACTTTGTAAACAGTAAAAGCAACGGTACAACAAAATCCTTTAGATACAAGGATGAATATCTATCTAAAGGCATTAAACCAACAATGCTCTGAAGATCCAGATATAATCAATTATCCAGGAGCCTTACCACCTTTTATTTCCGTTAAAAATACGATTAACCGTGTTTTAAAACAAACCAGGCCAAATATTCCCATTAGCAATGACACAATTGCATTGACCACTGAATTGATAACAACATTCAGTGGTGATAGCTTCTTAATAAAAAAACAATAATAACAAACTTATTGTATTTGGGTCTGTCATGTTAGTCAGTTTATCATCCTATACAAAATTCATTTATATGGATGGGACTTTTTACACATGTTTACGTTTTTTTAGCCAATTATATACTATACATATCAATGACATATAATATACCCAGACTGACGATTCATTCATTAAAATGCATTTTTAAGCGTCGTTAAAAGCAAATCAGCTGGACCCGCCATTTTGGTAACAGAAATCATTATTAAAATTTTAAACGAGAGCTTAATTTATTACTATATCTGAAATTTTTCCTATGATACTTGACAAAGAATTTAAATCCACATCCATCTGCATTAATGGTACCATCAAGGATCCTATCCCACAAATATTCCAAGGCTATTCTTCCAAGAAGATATATATATTTAGCAGACCAAATTCAAATAATTTAAAATTATATGACTAAATTATTAAAATTTATATTTTAAACATTTTTTTATACATAGAATATAAAGTATCTAATAAAGTTCCCTTACTTATCATTTGTTTTTCTTAAGACACAATATAATTGTTTTTAGTTTCTATTCTATTCTTAAAATATCTAATAAGGTAGATATATTTAAATCATTGCTTAAATTTATGTTTATCTTAATATGAGACTTTACTTGCCCTTTTAATATTTCGAATCATACAAGGTGATAAACTGAATCATCAGGATTTTTATTATAAATATTCATATTGTTTGGCTTAAACATCTAAACATAAGTTAATTTTTAAAGAATTCTAGCTAAAATTTACATTATGATATTAATAAAAAGGTAAAATATAACTTAGAAATCCAGAATATTAGGCATCCTCTCCAATATTTTTCTTAAATAATAAATGTAAAGTTCTCTCAATTTTAAAGTTGTGATCCTGAATCTTAAAAATAGAGGTATTTCTTTTTTTTAAATATAAAGTAAATGTTTAATCTTCAGATTCTCAATAATATATATATTATAAAAAATATGTTATATTATTAAAAAAATACAATATGAATTTAATATTTTAATCAGTTGTGCTAATTGGATCATATTGATTTAATAGATATATCTTAGGATAAATTATGTATTGCAAATAAAAAATTATTTTTCCTTATATTATATTATCCAGTTTATTTTATCAATAAAAAAAATATAGATTAAATAAATTAAAACATTTCTAAGACTTCAGATAAATTTAGCTTAATCTTACCTTTTTATTTTTTGAAGAATTTCATAACTTAATATTATGAGATTATTAATCTTATGATGAAAATGGGAATGACTAAAATACGCGTCCCTATGCGTCCCCGGTCAAAACGACTTATTTTTATTAATATTAATAAGAAATCTTATTAAGCTTTATAAGATGAGTTAGAAAATGTTTTTTTTAATTTAAAAAAAATACGGTAACTATATAAAATTTACAAAAATTTATTTTTTTAAAAAATAAACTACGCGTCCCCGGTCAAAATACAGTTTTTTTTAAAAAATCAAAACGGATTCATATTTAGCTTATTAAAAGAATACAGAATATGTAAATATTATATTTTAAACTATTTTATAACTTAGTGATTTTTTCAAAAACACTACGCGTCCCCGGTCAAAAAACCTTTTTTTTAAAAAAATAAAAGCAGATTCATGTTTAGCTTTTTAAGGAGATTCAGAAAATGGTATTAATAAAAAAAAATTTAAAAAAAAAATTTTTTTTTGGCTAAACTACGCGTCCCCGGTCAAAATACAGTTTTTTTTTAAAAATCAAAACAGATTCATATTTAGCTCATTAAAAGAATACAGAATATGTAAATATTATATTTTAAACTATTTTATAACTTAGTGATTTTTTTCAAAAAACACTTTTTTTTTCAAAAACACTACGCGTCCCCGGTCAAAAAACCGTTTTTTTTAAAAAATAAAAGCAGATTCATGTTTAGCTTTTTAAGAAGATTCAGAAAATGGTATTAATAAAAAAAAATTAAAAAAAAATTTTTTTTGGCTAAACTACGCGTCCCCGGTCAAAATACAGTTTTTTTTTAAAAATCAAAACAGATTCATATTTAGCTCATTAAAAGAATACAGAATATGTAAATATTATATTTTAAACTATTTAATAACTTAGTGATTTTTTGAAAAAACACTTTTTTTCTAAAACACTACGCGTCCCCGGTCAAAAAACTGTTTTTTTTTTAAATAAAAGCAGATTCATGTTTAGCTTTTTAAGGAGATTCAGAAAATGGTATTAATAAAAAAAAAATTTTTTTTGGCTAAACTACGCGTCCCCGGTCAAAATACAGTTTTTTTTTTAAAAATCAAAACAGATTCATATTTAGCTCATTAAAAGAATACAGAATATGTAAATATTATATTTTAAACTATTTTATAACTTAGTGATTTTTTCAAAAAACACTTTTTTTTTCAAAAACACTACGCGTCCCCGATCAAAAAACCGTTTTTTTTAAAAAATAAAAGCAGATTCATGTTTAGCTTTTTAAGGAGATTCAGAAAATGGTATTAATAAAAAAAAAAATTTTTTTTGGCTAAACTACGCGTCCCCGGTCAAAATACAGTTTTTTTTAAAAAATCAAAACAGATTCATATTTAGCTCATTAAAAGAATACAGAATATGTAAATATTATATTTTAAACTATTTAATAACTTAGTGATTTTTTGAAAAAACACTTTTTTTCGAAAACACTACGCGTCCCCGCCAAAAAACTGTTTTTTTTTAAAATAAAAGCAGATTCATGTTTAGATTTTTAAGGAGATTCAAAAAATGATATTAATAAAAAAAATTTAAAAAAAAAATTTTTTCGAATTCGAAAAAATTTTTTTTTGGCTACCCTACGCGTCCTCGGTCAAAATACAGTTTTTTTAAAAAAATCAAAACGGATTCATATTTAGCTCATTAAAAGAATACAGAATATGTAAATATTATATTTTAAACTATTTAATAACTTAGTGATTTTTTGAAAAAACACTTTTTTTCGAAAACACTACGCGTCCCCGGTCAAAAAACTGTTTTTTTTTAAAAATAAAAGCAGATTCATGTTTAGCTTTTTAAGGAGATTCAGAAAATGGTATTAATAAAAAAAATTTAAAAAAAAAATTTTTCGAAAAAATTTTTTTTGGCTAAACTACGCATCCCTACGCGTCCCCGGTCAAAATACAGTTTTTTTAAAAAAATCAAAACGGATTCATATTTAGCTCATTAAAAGAATACAGAATATGTAAATATTATATTTTAAACTATTTTATAACTTAGTGATTTTTTCAAAAAACACTTTTTTTTTCAAAAACACTACGCGTCCCCGATCAAAAAACCGTTTTTTTAAAAAAATAAAAGCAGATTCATGTTTAGCTTTTTAAGAAGATTCAGAAAATGGTATTAATAAAAAAAAATTAAAAAAAATTTTTTTTGGCTAAACTACGCGTCCCCGATCAAAATACAGTTTTTTTTTAAAAATCAAAACAGATTCATATTTAGCTCATTAAAAGAATACAGAATATGTAAATATTATATTTTAAACTATTTAATAACTTAGTGATTTTTTGAAAAAATACTTTTTTTCGAAAACACTACGCGTCCCCGGTCAAAAAACTGTTTTTTTTTTAAAATAAAAGCAGATTCATGTTTAGATTTTTAAGGAGATTTAAAAAATGATATTAATAAAAAAAATTAAAAAAAAAAATTTTTTCGAATTCGAAAAAATTTTTTTTTGGCTAAACTACGCGTCCCCGGTCAAATTACAGTTTTTTTTTAAAAATCAAAACAGATTCATATTTAGCTCATTAAAAGAATACAGAATATGTAAATATTATATTTTAAACTATTTAATAACTTAGTGATTTTTTGAAAAAACACTTTTTTTCGAAAACACTACGCGTTCCCGGTCAAAAAACTGTTTTTTTTTTAAAATAAAAGCAGATTCATGTTTAGCTTTTTAAGGAGATTCAGAAAATGGTATTAATAAAAAAAATTTT